TCAGCCTCTGCAGTATATCACCCCCATTGCTCATGAATTAAATCCTGTTGCAATCGATCACGAGCTCGTCTTACTTCACTCAAATCTTGATGTAAATTATTATTTTTTATACGAATTTGAGCAGTCGCTCCTTTTATTTGATTTATCAAAATATATCTATCTGTTATTATATTATTTACAAAACCATCTATAGCATTTGCTAACTCTCTGATTGTAGCTATTTCTAAGTTAATATTAGGATTATACAAGTCTAGAGAATTTTCATCAAAAGCAGTTTTATTTTCATTTAAATTCCATACCTGTGTGTTTTGTAAAGCTTCTCTTGTTTTTATAAGCTCTAACCTATCTCTATATCTCAATAATGTTAATGCAAAATTTTGACAAAGCAGATCTGTAATATGGTTTTTTTGTTGGGTTAATTTGTTAATCCTATTTATTTGATTAGTTCTTACCGTATTTATTTCTCGTTTAAGACGTTCATTCTCATTCACTAATCTGGTTGTATAATTTTGTGCTTTGGGAGTATTACCTGCAGATTTTGATATTTCTCGTATTCAGGTTTTTAATTTGGTTTCATATTCATCGAATTCTGATATCAATTTATCTTTATTGGAAATTTCTTTGTTTTTCTTTTTATTTTCTTCTTCGAGCTGTCAAACAATTCTTTTTAATTTTGAAATTTCTTTTGTTAATTCTTCTTTGTCTTGTTTAGAAAGTTCGATAGCGTTATTTAACTCTTTTTCAAGAAATCAAATTCTTTCTTTCTGTATACCAATAACTCTTTCTAAGGTATATAATCGTTGTTCAAAATTTCTATTTGATTTTGCTAATTAGGATACTACCTCGTGAAGTTCTTGATTACTTTGTTGTAATTTCTCCATATTTTTTATTTACTATAATTTATATAATCCAGAAATCGCTAAATATATAAAAAAGAATCGAAATGGTGAACCGGTTATTTATATCGATTCCCGGAGAGCACGTGATCTTGATCGGGATCTTACTTTGCAGAAGCTCTATTACTAACCTGAAGGCTATTATCAAACTGTTAAAAAAATGCAGAATGCTTGTAAGAAAGCCAGGTATAAGTTTACTTCAGTTGAAATAAAAAATTGGTTAGACCGACAAGCTTTACATCAGATTCATAAACCCTATTCTAAATTTATTCAGTATACTTCTTTTAACAATATTCAGTTTTTAAATGAAGTGCACCAATCTGATACTACGCCTATACCTCACGATAAAGTTGATAATCAGATTTATAAGTATAGAGGCGTTATCAAAGATGTTGCAACTAGATTTCGTTATAGTTTTGCTTTAACTAATAAGACATCAGCACAAATGGCTAAAGTGATTCAAAAAATTTATAATAATCCTAATATCCCTCTTAATTATTCAAAAACTTTTATTGTAGATAGAAGCACTGAATATATGGCTGAATGTAAAGATTTATTGCTTAGCTACGATGTAAGAATTCAGTATGCTAACTCTAAACGTGGTGTAGCTATTGCTAAATGTGACTATCAAGAATTTGAGAAGCATGCTTATTTTCGACAGATGCTGTAGATTTTCATTTACCTTTAACTGATAGATCCAGAGCATGGGTTAAGGGACTTCGTATAAATGATAATATTTACAATGATACTCCTACTCAGTTAATAGGTATGTCTCCTAATAAGGCTATGAAAAGAGTATTAAAAGGCAAAAAAATAATAGCTAGACCTTCTATCAAACATAGGAGACCAATTGATTATAATGAACTACTTTTACCTAGCTATACAGAAGTTCGGCATCTATTAGAACCTGGTGAATTAGAAGGTGGTAGAAGAAGGGCAACCGATTGCAATTGGTCTCCTGAAGTCTTTACAATTGGTTCTTATTTGTTAAAAGAAAATCAACCTATTCTCTACAAGCTTTACAAGGGTCCTAGATGCTTATTTGTAAGAGAAGAATTACAAATCGTCTCGCCAGACACAGTATTGCCACCCAAATATATTTTCAAGAATTAGTCTTATCTCCTTTCTTCTCTACTTGGTATAGGATCTGTTCGAAAGCACTGCTTAAGTAATCATCTATTTCATTTCTATTATAAACTATAATTTGCGTATTTCTAAGCCAGTCAGTTCGTGAATTCTTTTTTCCCTGTTTTTCATTTCCAGGTTTATCATCTATAAGAAATTTGGTAAGAGAACATAGAGCGAACTTAAATTGTCCACGCTTATCGAATTCCTTTTCAAGTATTTCCCTAAACTGCTTTCTTTGGCTTTCTAATATTTTCCATATATCGCTTCCATTATCTGGATGAGATTTAGGAACTTTTGCACGATGTACAGCTATAGCTCTTCTTTATTAACTAAGAATATTAATAGTCTAGTCTAATCTAACTCAGTTTATTTTTAGCTTAGTTTAGTTTGATC